TATCTAGGTCGTGAGGGTAGCGTCAGGGGCAGTGATTAAGTCTGTCGGTGCCCGGGCCGCGCCGCCCAGCCGCGACCCGGGACCTGGAGCTAGGAGCCGGTACCTCAGCCCGCTGCCGCCCCGGCGCCGCGCGTAACCCGACGTCGAGATCGCAGAGTTTGATTGGTCGGGCCAGGCGTGAGGCGGGCTTCGTCTCTCGGGGGCGGGGCTCCGGTCAGGGCTAGGGGGCGGGGCCGAGGGGAATCTGCAGGTAGACAGAGCAGGTGAGCCAGACTGTGTGGAAGGGAATCCACAGAATCCTGTGTGCTCTATCTAGGTCGTGAGGGTAGCGTCAGGGGCAGTGATTAAGTCTGTCGTTAGATCCCTTTCCCCTCCAAGGTGAATCTTTTATCCCTTGACATGGATTTTGCCTCCAGATTCGGATTCATCACTTCAGAAATGGAGCCCAATAACATGCAGCTACATTATGCTGAAGCAAAGTGTTCAATCTCAGTCTGTCTTCTTGCCACGCCAGACACTGAGTGTTCTACTTTTATGGTCAAAAGCCAGAGGATTTAGACTCATTAGCCATTGCTCCAAAGTGAGTCGTTCCCCGAACCCTAAACATAATTTGTGGGGTTTTTGTTGTTTTGAAACAGGCTTTTGTACATACAGCCCAGGCTGTCCTCAAAGATGGCCTTGAACTCCTGATCCTTTGCCTGCACCCAAGCTCTGGGATTACAGGCCCGTGACTCCAGTCCGATTTTGCTGTGTTGTTTGAGATTGGGGTCTTGTTGAATTGCTTAGGCTGATCTGGAACTTCTGGACTCAAATGATCCTTTCACCTCTGCCTCCAAGGGAGCTAGGACTACAGTTCAGTGCCACTAAACTTGGCTCCTTTTTACTTCAACCCAGCCACTTTCTCTTTATAGAATAGAGTGAATTTAAATGAGAAGTCAGTATGTGCACGCCCCTGCTTTGATCACTTATGAGGTACGACTACAAATTGATTTTTTTTTTTTTCAAACAGGTCTGGAATGTGTTTAACAGACCAGGATCTGCCGGCCTCTGCCTCAAGGCATATACCACCACACCCAGCCTGATTTTTTTAAAAATGCTAATGATGGATATTTGCTGATCTTCAATATACCAGTGTGCAGACACACACCCATTTAACTCTTCCGACCCAGACTCCTAGACTTCTCTGGTGTCTCTCTAGACTCCTATTGGAGTCCCAGAGCCCTGACCTTCCTGCTCCATGTCAATGGACATATGTGTGATACAGGTTCAACTTAGTATTATTGTTGGACAATAAATAATATCTCAGAAGAAATTTCCCCAAGAAGTTCTAATTATCAAAGAGGTCTAAATGATATCCAAAGATTTCCTAGTTAGCAAGAATATTAACCCTATAATTCAGAAGAAAGTGCAATTCTCCAGCCTCTCGACCTACTCACATAGTATTGACTGTATGGATGCTGCTCCCTCCTCCTGCTCAAGCAGCAAGCCCACCTGACTGCCCTCTCCTGTCCTTGAGCTCTCACTTTCCTTGTGTGCAATGCTTTTCAGACTGTTAGAGGTTGGACAGAGACAGCTGTGTGACCTGAGTATGAGCTTCCTGAAGGCAGAACTAGTCTTGATTCACTCTTGAATTCAACAGATTTAGCACACAACAAACATAAATTTAATTGAATTTTAACTTAAATTTGAAAATCTCCATAAATTTATTAACCATGGAGGAAAAGATTAAGAAACTAAATGGATAAGGGAAAGCTAAAACTGCATTATTCCCTGTAAATCTAAGAAGAATCTTATAAAAAAAAAACACTTAACAGATACAGTTCATGTTCAGGAGAACTAGAAAATGTGTCTTAAAGCAGAAGAGATTGTAACTGGGCATGAGATTATTAGTTACAACCAGGTGATGGTGGCACATGCAAATCTCAGCACTCAGGAGGCAGAGGCAGGTGGATCTCTGAGTTCAAGGCCAGCCTGGTCTACAGAGCAAGTTCTAGGACAGTCAAGGCTACACAGAGAAACCTTGTCTAGAAAAACAGAACAAAACAAACAAACAAAAAGATTATTAGTTACTTGAAGACATAGTTCAAGAAAAAAATTGCACATAGAGGTGAAAAATATTTGGGATAAAACATTGCTCTGTATACATTCAGATGTGGATGATTGTAAGGCCCACAGAGAACAAAGGACAGAGGATTCTGCTCATTCTATCTCTTCTTAGAAACTTAAAAAAAAAAATCTAAATCCAGAAGGGATAGCAAAAGACAGGAGGCTTCTAGACCTTTATTTGAGTAGGAAGGGTCTCTCTTACTCATTAGAAAGAGCTTGGGAGAATGTACTTAACAATGAAGCTGAGGCCCACTGGAAAGAGTCTGGGAGAATGAACTTTAGCCAGCTTTTCTTACTATGAAATTTGCACAAATGAAGTTAAAGACAGATTAATACCTGTTTAATTTTCTCACAACCACTTAAAAAGGTCATATCACAAACTTACTAATTTGCCAAAAGAAAGAAAAGCACACATATATTCATTCAAAATAGTTTTGCTTTGTTTTTAATCCTTTAAAATTATAACCATCAAACTTGATGGGAAACAGGTATTCTAGTGCATATTTCTCCTTAAGTGTACTTGGTCTTCAATGCATAAATTTTAAATTAAGAGTAAAAACAGCAAGCAGGAAGGATACAATGCCAAAAGCATCTCATTTTGTTCCAAACAAGCAACTTGATTTTTTGTTTTTTAAGCAAAATACATTAAATAAGGTGCATTACTTCCAAGGAGAGAGTACTGGAAAGGCCTAAGGACAGAGCTGGAACCAGCCTGGAGTCCCGATCCTGGCAGGCCTCTGATTGTCATTAGAGAAAATTCAACTAAAAGAAGAAGAGGGAGGTGAGAGAAAAGCAAATGAGTACTCTCAAGAGAAACATTCAAACTATTTTCCTCCAGAGACTGACAAACGGACTAGAGGCTGCCTAAGCTTTGTAGACTTCTGTCTCTACCAATCTGCTTTGTGATCTGAGCTGCCCTTAAAGTCTATAACCTTCAACATTCTGTGACCGCCTCTATTCTGCCAAGCTAGACACAGTTACGCAGATAAGCATACAAGAACCCTCAGGCCCAAGTCTCCACACATCCTGAGTACAGTCCCTCTCACACATCAGCAACGGTGACACTGCTTCACGGTCAGCAAGCTCACCACCCCTTCCCGCGGCTCAGCTCTGCACTGTACGGCTGGTAGTGACAACTGTCTGGTGACTCTGCTGCCTGTGTCCCTTCACAATGCTTCACTGTGACAGGCCGGAATGCCACGCCAGACTAGTTAGAAAAAGCACTAGCAGAGTCGCAGACCTCCCTGACAAATCTTCACTCCTGTTTGTTTCTTCAGGTTCCTGTGAAATTTTGACTTCTTAAACACAGCAGCAAGAAAATCACCATGTACTGCATTTAATAACCACTACCTTATGTCTCAAACTTAATGCTGCTCACAGAGCAAAGCTACTGGTGTGACTGAAGACAAACACTGAGGAAAACAATCCCCAAGTGAACGGACCTGGAACCAGATCCATTTGGACTAGACTTTGGGCTTGGATTTCTTACAACAAAACTCTAGGTCATGCTTATGCGGATAAATTCAAACTCTCCAAGTATATATATATTCTCATACAAAGCAATCATCAAAATTCTTAAGTAAAACATTTAAAGTGAATAAAGCCAATTCTGGGAAAGTGACCATTACTTCTTGGTTGTACAGGAGGCTCTGCCCTTATAGAGTTTCTAATCAAAACCATGGCCACAAGACAGCAACTTACAAAGGTCCTAGACTGGAGACATCCAAATTTACAGAGGGAGTATCTTGTTAGCTGAAGTTTTCTCCTTCGCTTCTGGTTAGTGATTTACCTTCCTCACTTCAAAAGGACAACATACATCCTACTGATAAAACAGATTACTTAGTGACCTGTATGAATTTGCACACACATGGAATATCCCCAGTATGTAAGACAAGTTTGAACTCACTGTGTTTCCACAGTTGAAAGACTACCAGCACTTCTAAAAATCAATGAAACTAGAAAAGAATCTCTTCAATTTAAGTTTTTGCTGAGAGGTACCAAGTAAGAACAAATATCAGTGACAGGTTTTACAATGATTTTTACATTGCTGTTACCTTTCATTTAGGTTCCCTGATGTTCTGCGTCTCTTAGAAACAGTGTTGGCTTGAGACGGGTTGGGTGTTGTGAGCCCTACCTGCCTTAAGCTGTATTCAAGCATCACGCTAATAATTGAATTGGCTCTAGAGGGCACGTAAAATGTAAGTGTTTGGGAAGCTTTGGTCCGATGCTCTTTCCCTTGCAGTGAAAACCATTTTACTTCTAGGAAAAGAAACACATGAAGGCCACACTCGGTGGTTTTCTAGCCTGTCTCTATCATAATTCATAAATATCTACCAAGATTTCCAGAGGTTGACTAATACCCTTCCTGGACCCGTATTATAAACACAGGGAACCAAGTACACTGCTATAGAAAGGCTAAAGATAGAATTCAATGGCTCCATTAATGCACCCCTATACTTGAAAAGGATGAAGGTGGCTCACAAAGGAAAAGAACAGTCACAAGAAACCCAGGAAATAGTCAAAACATTGGGGTCAATCTGTACATACAGGTCAAGGGCTAGCTAAAAAGATCAGCATATCTGTAAAGGGGAACTCCAGACAACACACCTCTAATAAATTTATGAGGTTGGCTTTCTCAGAAATAGACTTCACATACAAATGTCCAAAATACAAACCCCTTCCCCAACAATGCAAGAATCTCAGAATCATCATAATTGAACATCACTGCTAACCAACCTAACCCCAGCATCTTTGTTAGATAAATGGAAAACAAAACAAAACAAAACAAAAGCAGAACAAAACAGGGTCCCAGATAGTCCAGGCTAGCCCAGTGCTGGGCCTGAGGTGTGTATCACCATACCCAATCTGGGATTAGGATTTTATACTTTAAAAAAGTTTTTTTTTGCAGAATTCTCATACAATCCTCTAATATGTGACACCTGGGAGGAGGGATGGGGCAGATAAGAGTATGCCATATCCCAGTAAGTGTGCTCTCCTCACTCGCCTAATTTATGACTGGCCTTTCTACAGGAGAAAGCAGAAACTAATGATGGTACAGTCAGGCAAGACCATTGTGTCCCACCCCTCCCCCACTCGGGACTACTTAAGGCCTGTCATCTCTGATTGTTCTACGTTCTGTGATCTTTGAGTTCAAGAACAACACAATGGCACAGTCATTGCTGTCACCCCTTCTTTTACTACAACAATGTGAAATTCTACAGGTATACGTTTTATATCCTCATGAGATCCCTTCTTGTATTGACTTAACTGCTGAGGTCCCGGGAAATTCTGTGAAGACAGCCACTCCAAATCAGCCTGCCAATACCAGCTGTTTACTACTATCAAGTATATTTCTCTCCAGCGGCATGAAAACTCCAGTTATTTTTTAAAAGCTGGATTTCTAAGTAAGCTCAGACAATGAGCTGTTACTTAGATGAAGCTTCTTCCAGATATGCCTGATGGTGGTGATGTGAATAGTCACTGTTTTAAGACTTGACTGCCAGGTCAAGAGTTATCCAATGAAGAACAGGATCCAGACTACAGACTTTCCCAATGTTCATAAAAACAAGTGGGGGTTGAGGTGAGAAAAGAAAAAAAAATTCACAATTTAAATTTGTAATATTACCTTATATTTGCAATTTGTATAGTTGTTCAGAATTTACTCGGTTTGCAATTTTAAAACATTTTCAATTCTTGAGGAAAAAATGCTTAGGGTATAAATCTGTAGAGATCAAGGTAACCAAAAAATAAATAAATAAATAAATAGATAAATAATCAACAGGAAAACATTTAAAGGAAGCAACCTGTGCATGTATGTCTTTTCTTACTCATGGCTACAGTGCTATTTTCTATAATAGCTAACAATGTCATTAAAAGTGAAAATTCACCTGGAATTTCATGTCAACTTGAGTTTAATTGAAAAAAATTCAAAGACTGAGCTACTGAATGGGATTTCTCAGAATGTAAATTACATTCAATTTAAACTGGTGTGACTGGAGACAGGTATAAGCATGGCTACAGAGGTTTCCAGACTCCTCCACTACCTCACCCGTCCAAGTACCAACCAGCTCTGATTGGCTTTCCAGATGAAGCAAGATCTGGGACATTTGGGGTGGCATTGTCACAGACTTCTCAATACTTATCACCAAGGACGCTACTAGGAAACTCCATACTTAGTGCCATCCCAAAAGTCAGAGTTTCTCTCCTGTGCTTCTTCCTGGACACACCTAGAAAACCGGGAAAATGGGCTTTACAGCGGAGCCAAAGGACACCATCACTGAGAGCAGAGACTCCAGAGATGAAACAGAGGTAGTCGAACAACTCTAGAGAAAAATAAACATAAATAAAAGCCACTGAAGTATCTTTCAAAACTTAAATACCAGACATTAGTCTTTGTGAGGCCACTTAACAATGGTGGCCAAAACTGGGTAAAGATGAAGAACGCAACAGTAGAATTCTGAGGAGAAATTGGTTAAGGGACTGGTGTAAGTGCCACGTGATATTGTTAAGAAAGCAGACAGGGCCTTCTCTAACTTCTGTCATAGCTTCAGCATTCAGCTTAAAAATGGCATCATACAAAAAAAATGTCACTCATGGCTGTAAGCGCAGTCATCAACAGAGGTAGTAAACAAAGAAACTCCTACGAATAGATTTTAAAATGGATCAACGTGTAACTATACATTCAAAACCCTAGAGCCGTATAATTATCCCCAAAATGAACTGCTTTAATTTAAAAAAAAAAAAAGCTTAAAAACACAATGACAATGAAGCACTGATGTGCCTTAGGCACAGTCCCAAGTCAGTGCTGACTTAAAGCTGTGTCCTCTCTCTTCAAGAACAAAGTTCAGTCTACAGTGGGAAGGGACAGAATGGAGAGAACCAAACAGGTGCTGTCCAGATCACTCTGTTTTTCCATTCATGGAAATCCATAGTTGCTTTCTCACAACTTTTGCAAACTGCAATCTTCCGAGCAGAAGTCTGTATTTCCACTGTAGGAGAGCCATTTTTGTGCTGTATGCGCTTCCTCAGTGCATGTCCTCCTTCCCTGAAAGTGCAAAGAAAGCTAGCCAACATTTGCAGGGCCCACAGCCCCAGGACGACTGCAGCCACCTGGAGAGCAGGGCAAACGGTTTACTGTGCTTCAAAGACCCAGCTCCCCCTGCTTGTCCTTCTCAGTTGGCAAACTGCTCATAAAAAGCAAACTTGATTCTCTCTATGTGATGGCAAAGCTTGATGGCAGGGCCCAACTTCAAGTCCATGCACTCTTGAACGGTGGGAAGGGTAAGGAGCAAAAGGGCCTGCCCATCGATTTCCTGTTGAGGACAAAGAACAGAGTCCGTGATGTGCGCACAAATGAAGCTTCTTCATGACAGTTCCTACTTGCACTGCCACAACTATAGTTCTCTGCTTCCCTGCATTAGTTTCCCCTTTAAAAAGTGCCAGACTCCATCACCCTGACAAGCTTTTGGAGTTAGTAATAAATTTTACCAGCCTTGAGACATTAACCTACAGATTCTGCTCAACAGAAATTCGGTATCTATGAAGCCCTATAACTAACAATTAATTGTGAAAAGAAAAAATATTTTTAAAGGACTCTTTCTTTCTTTTTCTTTTCTTCTGTTTTTTTGAGACAGGGTTTCTCTGTGTAACAGCCCTGATTGCCCTGGAACTCTTTTGTAGACCAGGCTGGCCTTGAACTCAAGAGATCCAACTATCTCTACCTCCTGAGTGCTGGGATTAAAGCCGTGAGCCACCATGCCCGGCTAAAGAACTCTTTCTAAATCTAAAACTATTTGAAAATACTAATGTTCTCCTACTTTGTAAAATTCATTAAAAAAAACTACAAAGATGACCAGACCTTTGTTTTATTTTTGACACATGGTCTCACTATGTAGCCTAGACTGGCCTCAGATTCACTATGTAACCCAGGTGGCTTCTAACTTGTGAGCCTCCTACAACAACTATCCAAGCACTAGGGTAACAGTCATAGATGCTGTTCTGAATATAGCTACATCTTCTGCCTTCCATAGCTATTCGTGTTTCGCCATACCTGCATTAAAACTGATCACCACTCTAGCGTCTGGTGTATTAGAGATGCTAGCTTTTTTAAGTTTAAAAGCATCAGGGCTGGAGAGATGGTTCACTGACTGTTCTTCCAAAGGTTCTGAGTTTGATTCCCAGCACCCACATGGCAGCTCACAACTGTCTATAATTCTAGTTCCAGGGAACCCGACACCCATGGCAAATCACCAATGCACATAAAATTAAAACAAACAAACAAACAAACAAATATTGTTTTTAAAAAGATGAGGTCAATTAATATATGCCTGATTTTAAATATTTAAAGTATTTAACTATTTATAGGATAGAATTAAATTTTGAGGGAAAACAAAGCAATCTGCTGCAATTATAGTACAAGTCCTTTGAGTAGCAAAAGAGAACCACAACAATCTTTTGTACCAAAATATTATTTCCTAAATCTTATCATTTTGGCCTATTATACACATAGCTCTTTACCAAACAGACATACATTATTACAGATTATGCTATTCATGATTACCTGGTCCAGGAATATTCTTGCCAGTGGTGCACAGTCAGTGGATCTGATGAACCGCACGACATCTGCCACACTCCACTTCAGTGGGTTACTGTCCAGGTGAAGCCTTTCGTCAACTTCAATCCTTATTTCCTTCAACAACAAGATAACACCAATTGGTTAAAGCACTAACATTTTAAAAACCTCTCCCCAAAGAAATTCCATAATCCTTTAAGACAGGAGTTAAAGTAGACTTAAGACTAACATCCCCCCTGCCCCTGTTTTCACTCTCTCAGACTACTTTCTTCCAGCAAAGATGACAAGAGGCTCACATGCATTAGCTATCTGGGAAATTTATAGATAAATTTGATAAAATTCATATTATATTTCCAATGTGTTTCTGGACTGTTTTGGTTGTTCTCTGATAGGATGCTAGAGCAAATGGTATTTCAAATGAGAACAACAACAAGAAATCTTTTATTGTCCCTGTTAACGGGATATTTTAAAAGTCCAGTTCTGTTTATTTTAGAAGGGGTTTCATGGGGCACCCAGGATAGCTTTGAACTCATTCCCTGCCTCCACCTCCCAAGTACTGGGGTTAAAGAGTATATATGTCACCACACCTGGTTTTATACTGTACTGGGGATTGAGCCTAGGGCATCATGCACGGTAGGCAACCACACGCTACCAGTTCTAAAGTAAGTTAGCTGTAGCTGGAACTATTATATAAGTCACCCAATGTGCATTTAACTGCTGACCATCTCTCCGACCCTAGAAATTCTTCCTAAGTTTATATGGACGGAAGTGTGCTAGCACAATAAATGACAGACTATAAAGGAAAATGAAAGATTTTTTCCCCTCCAACAAGGTACCTTTGGTGAAGGAGGCTTATTTTCATCATCTGAAACTGAAAGAGTGCCAGCTTCTTTTTTACTTGTCTGTGTGTCTGGGGGCAGTGGGGCGGACATCTCACTCTGGGTGGGAGAAGAAGAGTTTGATTTTTTTTCTGACGTTTCGGATTCTTCCTGTAACTCGTCCTGTTGTTCAGATGTGCTGCCCTCACTTAAGGACTCATCATCTCCATCATCTGCATCATCCTCTTCTTCTCCCCCACTTCCCTAAAAAAAAGGAAAAAAATCTCACTGAAACTCAGGACGGAGCAGTAGTCAATGAACCACAAACCATCTACTGAGTAGAGATTGAGATTATAAAGCTGTACAGGTACTACGTGTGCAGACTGTAAAGCAGCGGTCACTTGCCCCTACAAAGGACGGATGTGTCACAGATCTCATACCTGGGGTGAGCCCACTGGGGTATTGTCAACAGATGCAGAAGCCCGTTTCTTCTTATGAACAAAAATATTTTTCCGCCTTTTTCTCTTCTTACTGGCTTTTTTCAGGGCACAAGCTAAATTACTATGACCACCAGGTGGCCTCCCAATTCTTTTATTTTTCTTCTTTCCATAATAGTGTGCTAAATGACCAAAAAGAAGGAAAAAAGTACCTTCATTATTGTTGCATACCTCAAAACCACCGGATTCAATTAGTACAGCAGAAAATGGATGTCACTACATTTGTAATTTAAACTCCACATATTGGAATAAGCAGAGAAATACAAAATTTGATTCATACTAACATGTAAAAATGCAAACAATCCTCACTTTATCAAGGCAGACAACATCTCCATCAGTCAGACAGTTCTCAGGCCCCAACCACTCATTTGCAAGGCAACCACTTTTCTGATTTCCTCACTGCAGATGAACTTGCCTCTTCACACCTGCAGAGGGCACTGGTTTATAATGCTTCTTTCATATGTATGATTCTTTTAGTCTCATCTGCGCTGCATATTTAAGCAGCCAATTCTTTATGTTGGTGACTAGGATTCTATCATATTGATTTACCCATTTATCGATTTCACTTTTGATGTGCACTTGAGCCATATCCTGGTTTTGACCATAATTAATAAAGCTGTAATGAACGGCTCAGGTTCTTTGCAAGAGCAGTAAGTGCTCTTAGTCACAAAACTATTTCTTTAGCCCCTCAAACAAGGTTCAAACAGGGTGTTGCCAAAAGTTAGCCTTCCATACGATCAGTCTAAGAGTTATCTCCAAGAATAACAAGAGCCTTTGTCTTAAAGGAGGTAGATGGCATTGCTGAGCATCATCAGGCCTCTGTGCTGGGGCCTTGACACAGGACTGCACACAAAGTGCACATGAACATGAAAAGCTGCCCTAAAACCTGACTGCACTGTTGTACTCACCAAAAAAAAAACCACTCTACCTCACCGCCTGCACATTCTTCCCGGGTTCTGGAAAAGAAGCATTATTCTCCTACTGAATGTAGCTTCCAGATTTGTGTATCTGAGGTGTTTCTCTTATTACAACATACCTAAGTTCTATCCATGTTACTACAAAACTCAAACTTACATTGCCCAAGTAACAAACTGTACTGAGCTGTTGTCATGTGCTTACTATGTATTTGTGCATCTTCTTCCACAATGTTTGTGCGCCTCTTATTGTTTAAAGTTTTCTTTAAACAATTTAAAAAACTAAAAAATGTGACATTGTAGCTTGAACCCAGGATTGCACAAGTGCCCCACTAGATGTAACTTGCTTTTTTATTTTTGAATTTTTTTAAAAAATTACTGAGATATATTCACATATAAAATTCACCTGGTGGTCTACTGTTTACTGGCTTCAGTGAAGAAACTGCTGGGTGAAATCATCACTAATTCTATATTTTCTTTAAATTTTAATTGAACTGAAACTCGTGTAATGTACAATTAACTACTTTAAGTATACAACTAAGAGGTAGTTAGTATATTCAACATGGCATGCAGCTCTCAGCTGTGTCATTTCATAACTTCCTTTTATATTACTGAGTTGTGGAAATTCATAAGATGTTCTGGAGAGAATTCTTGGCTGGACACACACATTAAGGATATTTCCCTAAGATCATGAATCAGCTTTCTCTTTTTAAAATGGCACTATTCAAAACACAAAGTTTGGTTTTTGTTTTTCTGTTTGGATATACATTGTTACTGGCGCCACCCTAAAGTCAGCTCTTCACTGTCACCCTTGTTAAAAATCATTTGATTACATAAGTTTCACTTTATTTCTAGATCCTCTATTTCAACCCACTATTTACTCTTTAATAAATTTCTGAATGATTACAATTGTCTTTTATGGTTAAAAAAGAAAAAGTCCTTCAACTTTATTTTTGTTCTTTCTTTAGAATTAAAAGTTTTGGGTATTCTAAATACTTCTTGTTTTTAATTAAAGTTTAGAATATAGAGACAAAAACATGCAACAACTTATATGGTGGTATATGCCTATAAGCCCAGTAATTGGAAGGCTGAGTAAGGCGGACAGAAAGTTTGAGGCAACCCGAAGCTACACAGTGAGTTCTAGGCCAGTCAGGGCAGTCAGGGCTATACAGAAAGACTGTTTCAAAACAAGAGCTGGGCGTGATACTGCGCAACTGGGCTACATAATAAGACCTTGTTTGAAAAAAAAAAAAAAAAACCAAAGTCAAACTAAACCAACCAAGACCTCAACACTTCCAACCTCCTCACACACACACACGAAGAAAAAAGGGGGCTTGGCATGTAGTTTAGAGACAGGGTGTTTGCTTAGCATGCATGAAGTCTTGGGTTCAATACCTAATATCACACATGGAGGGAGGGAAGAAGGAAGGGAGGGAGAAGACAAGTAGGGGGGATAATTCTGATTATAAGGTAAAGTAATATAAATTTATTTTCTAATATAATTTTCTGCAAAAATGAATTCCTCCTTGGTTCTTCTATTTTTAAAGATTTTTTTAAAAAAATAAAATATAAAAAGCAAAATAGAATGAGATCACATGATCCCAATATATTATCATCTGATCCTTTACAGAAGAAACTGCTTCTCTGACAGCATGGCTATTTCTATAAAATGTAAGATGACAAATGTTAAGGCTAACACATCTGAAAACCATTACTCACTGTATTTAGTCTTTGTAAGAACAGAGCAGTTCTCAGAACATGTATCCAGAACCATCCGTGGACCAAAAAGGTTAGGACAACATTCCAATTTGATACATGTTTGTCGGCAGAACTCAGGCACTCGATCTGCTGTTTTCACTATCTCAACAGTAGCTCGATAACTCTTCCCTTTATATCTACAATTAGAAAACATCAGATGCCAAACTTATCGCACCAATGTTCACCCTAAGAAAAATTTAACACAAGCATGCTTAAAATAGCTTTACTCAACTTCAGAGTTTGAAAATTCTCTTAATGATTATTTTTATTCTATGTGTGTTTGTGTTTGGCCTGCATGTATGTCTCTGTGAAGGTTTTGGATGCCCTGGAACTGGAGTCACGGATAGCTGTGAGCTGCTATATGGTTTCTGGGAATTGAACCTGGGTCCTCAGCCAGTGCTTTTAACTGCTGAGCCATCCTTCCAGTCCCCATACTTTGAGAATACTTAAAACAAAAAGAAAGTTCTGTACTTAAATCTGGTGTGGAGACCCAAAAAATGTGAGCCTATTTCCATCTAGTCCAAAGGTCAGAGAGTTGGAACTTATCTCTATTCCGTCAAGGTTATAAGTCTGTTTCTACCTCAAACAAAGGTCCCGACCTAGATTTAGATCTTAGAGTTCTGCTGTCTCAAGGTTATTGTTAACAGGTGTGGCTAATAGCTAGACCTTGTATTTCAGGAATAGAGAAGTAGATCTGTTTCTACTCCAAACAAAAGTCTAAGTCCTACAACTAAGTTCCTACTCCTTTACGAAGATAACTATGGATTCCACCCAGGGAGTGGTTTGCCAACAGAATGTTTTGGTCTAGGGTGTGAGCGATACTTGTCTTGTTCTAGAAATAAAACGTTTACCTAAGAATGTAGCCCAAAATCTTCAATCAGTATGTTCATTTCCTTGTATCATGTTAATACAGTCTTTTTATCTTACTCCTACCTTTTGGGGTCAGGGGTATTTTAAGCAACTAGAAATTAAACGCAGGTGATTTCAATATTCAATGTTTTCCTTTTTATTATTTGCATCTTCATCCTCTTTACTGTTTTTCTGATCCCAATGCCCTACCCTGGCAAGAGGTATTTTTGTCAAGGATGGTCCCTGACAATCTGGTACACTACAACTTGAAAATAAAGTTATTTAAACAAGAAAGAAAGAAACAAGAAAGTCTTTGCTTTCTGATCTTAGGTGAAAAGTTTACATGTGTATGCAGGCATTTATTTGTCCATTCATCTGAGCGATCAAACCAAGGGGCCTGAAGTTTGCTAGGAAAGCACTCTATCAATGAGCTCTGTTCCACAGCCTTGAATTTTAAGTACTACTTTTACTAATTACTCTAAAAGCATCTTTTTATTAAATCTTCCTTTATTCAGAGCAGTGATCCTCAGAGTGTGGTTCAAGGACAATATGATATGCCAACTGCTACCCTGCCACAAAAAAAGTTAAGGTCAGAAAGCAGTAGTAAATGTTCATAAACTTTTGCAAAAGTTTTAAAACAATTTTCTCTATCTTCACTCTAATAAAAGTGTTATGTTTATGTTTCTTAAAATTTATACTTCTTAGAATTAATTTTTATCATATAACATAAAAGAAATCAAAAAGAAAAAAAATCAGCCTGGTCCTTTATCACAAACAGCTGCAGTAGCTACAAGAGTGGAGGGTGAGGTACTTTACTCACTTGGCTTTTAGGACTTCCCCACATCCATGCCACACAGAATCTTTGTCCAGCTGGAGCTCACGGAGGACACGACTGGGTTTGTAGGCTGCATTGATAAGTAAAGTGAGGACCTGAGATGGGTTTTAAGGCAGAAATGTAGATTCAGGAGGAAGGAGAAAAATCAGATCATTAGAATATTAATACACTTGCCAACCTTATGTATTTTAAAAGCATTCTGGAGATTATTTCCAGTTAAGAATGTTAACGAAATAATAAAAGCAAAAACATGTCAGCTACAAATTAAGAGTAATCAGATTCTTTACAACATTCAGTAAAAAAACAAGTAACACAAATTTAAAAGTACCCTAGCATGTACTTCCAAATGCTTTTCCCATCATGGTGCACAGACAACTGTATTTACTTGGGACTGGAGAGAAAAGAGTTTACTTGACTTAAAAGCTACAGTCTTTCTTCGGTAGAAGCCACGATTGGTAGGAATTTAGTGGCAAAAACTGAAGCAGAAACCATGGAGGAACACTGCTTACTGGCTTGCTTCTCAAGGATTGCATAGCCTGCTTTCTTATACAATCCAGGACCGCCTGCCCAGAGGTAGCACTACCCACAGTGCATTAAGCTCTCCTACATCAATCATTAACCAATAAAATGCAATAGAGACTTGCTGACAATCTGATGGAGGCATTTTCTCAGCAGAAACTCTTCTTTCCAGATTACTCTAGCTTGTATCAAGTTGACAAAAACCCTTCTGATGGCCAGGAGTCTGGTTCACAAACTCTAGGTTCCTCAGACTCTGCCTTGCCCTTCTGAAGACTGACAGTTTCAAGTCCTCAAACTTGTTACAAACAGTACAACACACTGTGGCTGAAGGTACTGAATGCCTGAGAAACTCACACCTTAATCATGGACTCGAGTTAATGCCACACAACCTCTTATTGGTTGTAAACCAATCTCACAATGAACCCATACATTCATACACATTTTTTTCTTTACAGAAGGTCTTGCTTTGCACTCAAAATTCTAGTGCCTCAGCCTCCTAAGTGTTAGAATCACAGGCACAAGTCCCTACCACTCCTATCAGTCATCCCAACCCCTCAGTTATCTGTGACTGCTTGGAGCCTGAAGTTGGGAATTCCAACCTACAATTTCAGACAAGGCCTTCCTAGAGTCAGTGTGTGTGTGGCGGGGTTCATCCTGGACCATGTGAAGGTGAACCCTGATGCAGCGTAAGAGATCTCTACCTCGTCCTCATCCATGTGGTGTGGTGATACCATGCTCCCTGGCCCAATCCCTGCCAATGCCAATCTCTATGAGTCTGTTAGCCAGGGCCCTCTAGCCAGCCATGTGGTGTAAAGACAAAAGTAATCTACTGTCGGGTACAGACTACTGTCCAGGACCAGTTAGGCCCACACATCCTGTTTTCTGGTTTAGCCTGGTGAGTTCACCCACCTGAACCTACTTCTGCCTGAATCCTCCCCAATTCACAGAAAAATGAAACTATAATTACTGAAACAAACAAACAAACAAACAAACAAACAAAAATGACTAAGAACACAAACCAAAAAAGCAAAAACCCCAAAACTAAATGACTACAAACACACATATTTAAATAATAACTTCAAATATTAATGGTCTCAACTCTCAAAGACACAGGCTGACTAAAGGGATTAAGAAACAAAAACCCATCTTTCTTTTGTCTACAAGAAACTCAGCTTTAAAGGCAGGTACCACAATGAAGTAAAAGGGAACAACAAGCAAGCAAGCACTGTTATCCTAATATCTGACAAAATAAGACGTTAAACTAAAACTAATAGGAGAGAGAGATATTTCACTTTGATAAGAGTCAAAAGAACAATCTCTGAACATGTAGATGCCAAACTCTGGAGTACTCAATTTCATAAGTAGTCTATTATTAGAATTAACGACACCAGTGACCACCAACTCAATAATAATAGGTGATTTTCAGACCCCACTTTCTCCATCAGACAGGACATCAGGACAAAATATAAACAGGAAAACATCAGAACTAAATGAAATCATACACTTACAGTTTTCTACAGAATATTCTACCCAAACACTGAATAAAACACACTCTACTCAGCGACCTATATCGTGAGACACAAACTTAACAAATTCAGAAGAACTGAAATAACTGTGTATCTTATCTGATCATAATGAAATAAAACTTAAAATTGACAACAAAGAAATCTCTCGTAAGTACATACGCTCACAGAGATTAACCCACTCAGTACCGAATGATAACGGGTCAAACGAGAAATGAAAAATTCCTGGAACTAAGTAACAACGAGAACACAATACAATAAAACACCTGGGGGAAACTTATAGCTCTAAGTGTCTACATTTTAAAAAAAAATCAGAAAAAGCACAAATAAATTACTGATGATGCAATTCAAGAGTTTAGAAAAACAAGAACAAATCAAATCCAAAAGATGACAAGAAATAATAAAAATTTGAGCGGAAATTAATGAAACTAAAATAAACACAAAGAATCAATGAATCTAAGAGCTGGTTCACAGACAAACAAGACTGAGAGTTCTTTAGAATTACAGGCATGCATCACCACGCCCAGCTTTCCAGTGTCTATACAGTTCTCATGCAGTCTCTGACCAACACCGTTTTTAGAAAGAGGGGAATCCATCTGAAGATTTGCTTAGGTGAATGATCCCTGAGGAGTCGAAACAATCGTGTGCCAATCTGCCATGCTCATGGTAGTACCCAGATTCCACTATGGGTTTGTGTCCTTAGTTACAGCCACATATGACCCACAGTAAACTGTATACCATTTTGAGTACCCCAGTGAAATCTTTACCATCTGCCAACGCATGTGGATTATCTCTGCCTACTGTGCCCATGCTGTACACATTATCCATGGCCTCTGAGAGCTGTGCCAGTTATCAGATCAGTCCAGGAGATATCACAGAGCACGCCCTGGCTCAAGCAACCCTTGAAGTAGTCTAATGTGATGTAGGCTGATCTGACCTCACATTATAACAAGTAGAAGATACATCACAGTAAGGTAATATGAAAAAGGATTTTCATACAACTTTTATTATAGTATATTGTTATAATTTTCGATTTTGTTATTGTTGTTAATCACTTACCATGTCTAACTTATTAAGTAAATTTTATCCTCTCCCCAAGCTTATGTGTCAGAATCGTGGTCCACAGTATGATAAATATAGGTGACAGAATTCTTAAAAAGTGAGGCTGAGTGGGAGGCTGCCATGGTTAGGTTTTTTTGTTTTGCTTTGTTTGTTTGTTGGGTTTTTGAGACAGGGTTTCTCTGTGAAACAGTCCTGGATGACCTGGAACTCATTTGATAGATCAGGCTGGTCTCAAACTTACAGAGATCCACCTGTCTCTGCCTCCCCAGTGCTGGGATTAAAGGTGTGCACCACAGTTCCACTGCCGTGGTCAGTTTAATTGTGGAGGACTGACACACTGTAAAATAACCTGGGGCAGGAGTGTCAGTGAAGAACTGTCTGGATCTGACTTCCTCATAGGCCCATCTGTGTGTGTGTGTGTGTGTGTGTGTGTGTGTGTGTGTGTGTGTGTGTCTGTGTGGGATCATCTTGATTATGTTGATTGACGCAGCCTAAAGTGAGCAGCACCACTCCCTGGGGTTGGGTTCTGGGTGTGTAAAAAGGAGGAAGTGAGCTGAGCACAAGCACGCCAGTATCCATCCATCATCTGCTCCTCAGCTGGAATGTGAGCAGCTGTCCCAAGTTTCTGCAGCCTTGATTTCCTACACTGAGGGTTGTAATCAGCATCATAAGGCAAATACCCTTTTCTCCTGGGAACTGGTTTTGTCAGATATTTCTTCTCTCTCTCTCTCTCTCTCTCTCTCTCTCTCTCTCTCTCTCTCTCTCCCTTCCTCATTCCTTTTTGACAGCATCAGCAATTTAAACAAGAGGTCCTTAGAAAAACTGGAAACATGACTTCAGAGGGGACAGTAGGTTTTCAGTCTTTTTCAAGTTTCTTATTTGCCAACAGAATTCTTCCTCACATGTATAGTTTTCACTATGATTAGACACAGTCAAGAAAAGCTTCACCACAAGCCAAATCAATAGGGATGGTTGGTCTTGAACTTTTTAGCCTCTAAAACTATGTACTAAATAAACCTCTTTTTTCTTCATAACTAACCTTCCTCAGGCATCTTGTTACAAGAACAAAAAAGATTTAATACAATACATTCGGGGGAAAAAAAGAGATAAGGCTTGTTACTTTTCTTATTTCAAGGCACTATCTGATGTCTTAGAACTGTATTATGGCTCACAGGGAACTACCGTACATGACAGTTGCATTCGATTTATCGATGGCGCATGATTCTCTGCATGAATGAGCCTGGGAAACTCCTGTTTAATTTCCAAGTTCTGTCCTAGGTCAGAACCTTACCTCTCTAAGTACCAGAACACAGTTCCCAGGTCCTACACACTGTGGCAGCTCAGCAATTCTTCCTTTGTTAAGATACGGCCCTGAGAAGCAGCGGTGGTTGAAGTATATCTTTGGACAACAATATTTTCCATTGATCATCACTGGAAATGAAGAAACAAGCATTCATTTGCACTCTACTCCATGTCTCCAATGATGAGCTGGGGGTGGCAACCAATCTATACACCATTATGAGTTTTGAAATTACATTTTTTTGTATATGTGGAGTTTGTACATGCTATGCAAGTTTTGAACTCTATTCCCAGCCATGTAAATACATATTTTTAAGATTAGCATACTGTCTGACAATGCTCTTAAATATCTTATACTTACTTTTATGCTAACTTATGGAATTTATCACTATCCTCAATTACATATGTTGATTAACTCCTGGGTAATGTACACAAATCTAGAGGCCCACACTTTCAATAAAAGAAGTAGAGGATCTACTCCATGAACCCAGTAGTCTTGCTAGTCAGTTATTTCTGGTTCTTCAAATATCAATTATTCAATAATGCATTCTATAGCATTCCTAGAGATGAATGTTGAACATTATCCAGACTTACAGCTTGTCTCCTAAGCCCCACCTTAATTGATACTTCAAATACACAGGGCTTTTGTTTTATTGTATTCTGAGATGAGTCTCACTATGTAGCTCTAGTTGGCCTAAATAAAGTTTTATATAGAACCATTAAAAGATAACCAAGGGTCTCTTCTCCACAATGTCACAAATACTATACCTGAGTGTGTGGAGTTCAGCTGATTCTTCAGGCCCTCATGGACAGTTCTTGAAGAGAGTATTCTGGATCAAGAAAATAAAGTAAAAAAAAAAAAAAAAAAAAAAAGAGAGAGAGAGAGAAATTACCTTTAATACCAGCAAAGCCTTCAGGTTAGTTTCCTTCAAAAAAACAAATGTGGCAAGCTGTAAATCAAATAGAAGAATGTTCCTAATTCATAACACCTTGTTTTTTTTTTAAGTAGAAATTGTTTTAAAATGCATACACACAGAGAAACCCTGTCTCAAAAATCAAAAAAACCCCAAAACCAAAACCAACAAAACATGCATACGACAACTGAGCCAACAATCTATAGACATGTGATTATGTATATAAGTATATGCATATATATATACGTATACACACACACACGTATACATATCTATATAAATACACTACAGTTCAGAAATCACAAAACCATATTATAAACACGGTGAATTTCTTGTGGGATTTTGAATTTTGTTGTTTGAGACAGGATCTTGGCATATATCTCTGGCTGATCTGGTATTTGCTATGCAGCCTGAGAGGGCCTCAATGTACATGGAAGTTTCTGTCCCACCCAGTCCTGTAACCATTCAGTCCAAAGAAATACACAGAGGCATATATTAGTTATAAACTGTTTGGTCTATTAGCTTAAGCGTATTATTAACTAGCTCTTACAACTTAAATTAACCCATAATTCCTATCTGTATTTAGCCCTGTAGCTTGGTACCTTTTCTCAGTAAGACATTCTCATTTTGCTTCCTCTGCTTCTTTATAGAACCTAAAAACTTCTGTATTTTTAAGATGCAAGTCAACCACCAATTGACTGTTTCTCAAAGGCTGTGTGTAAGAGTATGCTACAAATAGTTTCCTGATGGGCTCAAAGGAGGAACGTAGCTTGTCTTGTCCAGTTGCTGTTCTGTACATCAAGACACTGTGACAAATCATGCCCTGACTTATAACTCTTGTTCCTCTTTTACAAATACTTCCCTCTTTTATTCAAATGCCTACGATATCTAAAAGCTAAAAAAAAAAACTAATTTGGAGAAAACATCTTGAGGATATATTTTCCCTTTGTATATAATAAGAATTTTGTTTGGACATGAGGGTTTTACTACATAACCCAGGCTAGCCTAGTACTCACTATACAACCTACTTTAATGTTCCTGCTGAGTCAGCCTTTAAAGTAGCTAAGATTATATGTATACACCATCATGTCTAATGTTACAGTGTAATTTTAGGAAAGAACTATACTAAGAATATAAAATATATAAGCTATCAAATTTGACTTAAAAGTTTATGCTTCCATCTGAGAAAATAACTCAAACAAGATATATTCCCTTAAACAGTTATTTTCCCCTAGATATTCTAAATTGCAAACATGAACTGTTAGGACATCTATAATATTACTTACTGTTTTTCTGGTTGAACCACTGCAATTTTCCGCTGTTTATGCACTATAAGAAAAAAAAAAACACCAAAAATGTTTTAAAGACAAAGACTTATGCTTGTAATCGGCATATTTGGTACCTGGCCGTATGTAAATAATGAGCAAGTACTTTTAAATTAGACTTTAAGTGTTAACATTCAAAGGAACATTTTTCTGGTTTAGGATCGTTTTAGAAAACAACATTTTCAAGGATCACTAGGCTAATCAATACCTACAAATACTTTAACAGAAAAAATAGACACTGAAAAGAAAGGCTAATCTGACAAGGACACAGGACTAGTGAATGGAGTAGGAATAGTTTTCAGCATAGTGTTCAGGAAATAAGACATTCATATGTACAAAGCTAGACTCTAAACTTTTATCATATATAAAAATAAAAGCAAATTACTCAACAGAGATAAAACTTCAAAACTTACAGATGAAAAAAGTACATGGCACTGAATTTGTGGAACCCTTTTTAAATATGACACCAAGAGTCATGATAAAAGTGTGATAAAAGAGTCAATAAATTACACTGGAATACACTGAAATTAAAAATGTGTGTATAAAAAGAAAATAGAGGGTTGACAAGATGTCTCAGTGGATAAGGTTACCTGCTACTAAGTCTGACAACCTGAGTTTGATTCCCAACAGCCACGAGGTGGAAAAAGAGAATCAACTCCCAGGAGTTCTCTGACATGCAATGGCATGTGTGTGAACATATACAAACACAAATACACTTATGTGTGCAATGGCATGCACATGTGCACATACAAACACAAATATGCACACAATAAATGCAGAAAAAAACACTATATAACTAAATGAGAATGAAGAGATTGGAGTGGTGGTTCAGCAAATAAGAGCACTTGTTATTACATAGACTTAGGAGACAGATATGAATTTAAAGTCACCCTGCCCTACCCACTGAGTTCTAGCCCAGTCAGAGTCTACACTGTGAGACCTGGTCTCCAATTAAAAAAAAAAAAATGCTACCTCTTTCCAATAGAAGCCAGTTTCTGAGCTGCCCTATGAAGAGTTCCATTTGACAAAGAACTTCAGCTGCCAATGATCAGCAAAGAACTAAGTTCCTCAGTTCAGTAGCCTATGGAAATAAATTCCTGCTGCTATTGTCTGACTGAACTCTCAAATTAATTCTGAAACCCTACTTACCACAGTAGGAGGTGAGGCAGGTGGTAGCGGTAAAGACAGACCTTTCATGAGTGGGACTAGTAACTCTATGCAGGGTGCCCAGAGAGTGAGCAGTCTGCATTAGCCTGTGAGGACTCAGCAAGAACATCTCTGGGCTGGAGAGAAGGCTCAGAGGTTGAGTACTTGCTGCTCTTGCAGAAGACCTTGGTTCAGTTCCCAGACCAAACATGGTAATTCACAACCATCAATAACTGCAGCTCCAGAGACTCTGATCCCTTCTTATGAACTCTGGGGACATCAGGCACCTACATGATACATATTTATACATGCAGGCAAAACACTAATATACATATGATAAAAAAAATTTAAATCTGAAAAAGGCCTTGTCTAGGAAACAGAAAAGAGATCCTAGTATCTGCTAGCATCCTATCACTTGATTTCCCAGTGACAGCAGACACATCACTTTATAGAATTTTGCTATGTAAACCAGAAGGGACTAAGACACTTGCCAGTAATCATCTGAGTAAACACGGGGAGAGTCTTCCCAGTTCAAGTCCTAAGATAATAACTGCCCTGGTGGAACCTTTTATTACAACCTGTGAGAAATCAAGATTATCTAAATTTAGCCTAGACCTCTAAGCTAATAAAAGTTTGTTCCAATAACTGTCTATACAAAAAGGTAATATTTTGATTTTCTCTGAAATGTCTATATTTACCATAACTGGTAGCACCTGTACAAGAGATCATCTGATAACCAATCTCTAATCCAGACATAGAAAAATACCTCGTGCCCGGCGAGGAGTACTGAGAGGATGGCCATTGGTTTCACACCAGCCCAAAGGAAATATATCCATCGACTCCACACTTACAATAAATTCAGGTATAGGTTTCTTAGAACCTGTTAGATTAAAAAAACAAAATTTTAACTATTAAACATCTTTCTTTAGAAGTGTTTTTATTTTATGTGATTTGTTTGCTCAGTTTTTGAGACTGGATCTCACTAGGTAACATAGGCTAGCTTTGAAATCCCCTGCTTCAGCCTCCAAGTGGTAGTACTAAAGGCATTGCACAACCATGCCTAGTCCTACACATTACTTTTTAAACAATATTGTAATAATATAGACACAAATCTCTTAAGCAATAATTTTTCTCATGGAAGTCATATGGTTTGATATATAAATATCATGAAAAAATAAGTTGCTTTCTATATATAAATTATGAGAACCAAGAAGGAAGTAAATACACAGATTGACTTTTGGCAAAGGAACAGCAAAGAAGCAACTGGAGCTATGATTCAGATGGCTAACAAGTGTCATAGTCATTTCCTTGAAATAACCAGAATATGAGGGCAAAATATCACATTTATTTTAACTAACTGGACTACTGTCTTGCATTCTTGGAATAAACTTGAATGTGGAACAATGAATTCAAATCAGGAAAAGTAACTTGGCAGATGTTGCAAGAATGTTTGCAGTAAATACTGTCCTTGACATCCATATTACACATCAATTCTACAAATCAGAAACATAATGCCATCATTTTAAAGACTATTTGGTAGCAGGATTAAAAGAAGCAGTAGCTAAAGCATTGAGCACTTACATAGCTTCATCTGCAAACCTGTCTAATCACTAAATATCTCCTTGAGAAAGACAAATCAAGTTGTCTACATTCTACTTGGTTCTATTTTCTTGGGGCAACCAAAATGTTCACCACTACAATAAGTGAGGCAGTTAAGTATTACACAAATATATTTTGGTAACATCAAAATACATGTTATTTTGATTTGCCCTTATGAAAATAAAGGACTTTAAAGAGCTTTTATTGACTTTCATTTCCTAAAATTTAAAATCCAAGGACAAAGAGTAAAATATTAGCTTAAAATTTTGGATTTCAAATTATATCATTATTTCAAAGTCCACCGAGTCTAACAAGCTACACTACAGTGGTGAGCAGGAAGAGCAAAAAAAATGCCACAGGAAACTTGTCAGGCATGCTGGCTTACCGTCCAGCTGGAGCCACAGGTAGGAGCCTCTCACTGCAGTGACGGTGGCAATGCATACTTCTTCAGGGAGAAGAGGGTTCACTGCCTCCAGTTTCATGTTCTTCTTAAACTGGTGATCAGAAATTGACTAAAAGAAAATCAATGAATCAAATTAATTAATTAGATTAATACTTAGTATTAGTTCATGTACTCAACTAGAATGTTTTCCAAGCAGTGTTTAATCACTAGATTTACAGTAAAGCAATATCTTGTTTTGTTTGTTTTCAAGAAGCAAAGAGAAAATAGGAGGAAACAAGTTTTGAGATTTAATTGTTTAATTCCTGATAACTCATTTAAAATTGCTATTGGTTTTTGAGAGTATAAACCTAGAGTTCTCTAGATGGACTCATTCGGTAAAGGTACTTGTTTGATCCCTAGAACCTATAAGGTAGAAGGTAAAAACAAACGTCCACCAAGTTGACCTCCACATATGTGCCATGACAAGTGCACGTGTACATATGCACACACAGAATAAATAAATAAATTTAAAAATAAAACCATAACCTAGTAGGATGTATAAAACAAGAGATGGCAGGCACAAATTGGCAGTGAAGAAAGTCCAGAACTGTTAGCAGCAGACTGATGCATGTGGAGACAAAAGAGAAGTGGTCTAAACAAGGTCTGGCTGATTTGCATGCTTCTTCTGTTTTGTTTCAGACAGGTCTCACATAGCCCAGGCTGACCTCTAACTTTTGCTACATGCAAAGATGAGACCATTATTCTTGACCGTCCTCCTACCTTCCACCTTCCAAGGGTTGGAATTTCGGGTATGCACAATCACACCTGGTATACATATTCTGAGGTTGTAACTCAGGGCTCCATCATGCTAAGCAAGCACTCTAAAGAGATAAGGAGCTACATTCCCAGTCATGAATTTTTTAAATTAAAAACAACATTTTTTTTTTTGAGATGGGGTTTTACTATTTAGAAATGGCTGGCCTCCCATTTACATCAATCCTCCTGCCTCATCCTCCTAGAGCACTGGAATTACTGATGTGTATCTTCATGCTTGGAGGACCTTTTTCTTTCCTTTCTTTCTCCTTTTTCTTTTTTTTTTCAGAAACAGTTAAAAAGCATTTACATTATGCCATTATATACTATTACATACCTCAGGGCAACTGTGTCTTTCCCTTCCCTACAGAAAGTGAGATTTATTCTCTGGAAAAGACAAAATACAAGATCTTTGGGCAGGAGGACACAAATAACTGTTAAGGGTGTGTGCGTAGTAAAGGCCAAGCCGCAGCCTCTATGATATCAGACAGGGACAGGAAGAGATCTTTTACAGTACTAGGACAACACACAAAGATTTAGTTTTTCTCAATAAGTGGCCCGTAAGATCCCACTCTGTAAGAAAAATCAAGGTTGACAAGCCCCATCCAAACATGCTCAAACTTTCTAACCAGTATTGTTTTGTTTCACTTTCTCATTCTTAAATATAAGTAGTAATCTAGAATAATCAGATACTTAAGAATATAAAAGCTACAGACAATACCAGCAATTGGAGAAAACAGCATGCAAGGAAACCTTCACACCAGTGGTGGTGCTAATTAGTGTCTTCTGGGAGACAAGAGCATCTATTTCACACTAAAAGTAAAGAGCTGCTAGAGCTGTGCACCTTCAATCACAGCACCAAGAGGCAGAAGTGGAGAGATGTCTGTGAGGTTAAAGCCTGTCTTATAGATAGCAAGTTCCAGGCCAGACAGAACTAGACAGACCCTGTCAAGTCAGTGATGCTGTCTCAAAAAACAAAACAAAACAAAATAGAGAACTATTCAAAGAGAAGTAGTTCTGAAAAAGAAAAATGAAGCATAACAAATTAAAAAGTTGGGGCTGGAGAGATGGTTTAAGGCCAAGAGTTCTTGCTATTCTGGCAGAGGACCCGGTTTGGTGCCAGAATCTACATAGTGGCTAATAACACCCTGCATCTCAATTTCCAAGGGGTCTGATGCTGTCTTCTAGCCTCTGAGGGCACCACATGCCCAGAAACACAAAATACCGAGATTTAAAATGATTTTAAAAATCATTTTTTAAAATAAAAACTCATGATCCCAGCAATCAGTAAACTGAGGCAAGAGGATTACATGAGTCCAAAGACAGTCTTGGGCCTCCAGTGAGCCTGAAGCCAACATGGACTACAGAGTGAGAGTAAATCTCAAAACAAACAAATAAAACAACAACAAAAAGACCAACTGTAAAGTTTTGTTTGTTTTTGGAGACAGGGACTCAGAAATGTATGTAGCCATAGCTGGTGTGGAACTCATTCTGTAGATCAGGTTGGCTTTGAACTTATAAAGATCCATTTGCCTCTGTCTCTCAAGTGCTGAGGTTAAAGGTTCTATTTTCTATGAGAGGAAAAAAGGCAGGCTATCTGCAATTTTGCATAAAGAGGAGAGAAAAGGCAGGTTCATCTACAAAAAGTTAAGAGTAATCATGTCTCAAAAAAAAAAAGTCAAGAATAAAATTGTCTCTTTACAAAAAAAAAAACCACAGTAGAAGTAAGAAAGTGAGTAATATTTTTTAAATGCTGAAGTAATGTCCAACCTAACTTTCATATTAAAGCTAAATTATGAGTATGGCAATAGAGTGAAAATTTCAACATATAGAATTTATTAAAATTTATAGTTCTTATTACATATTTTTAAGAAGCTATTAAGCAATAGCAGGCACCATCAAAACAACCAAGCAGAGGCTGGAGAGATGGCCAAGTGGTAACAGCACTAGCTGTGAAAGCAAGAGGACCTGAGCCCAAATCCTCAATATTACTAAAAAGCTAGAGATGATGGTGGATGCCTGTAATACCAAAGTTGTGGTGCAGAGAGGCAAGTGGATGCCACTGGCTCTCTGGGAATGTGTCAGCCTATCACAAACAGGATGCTTCTCGCTTAGTGACAGACCTACCTTTTAAAGACTGAAGAGAAACAAGAAGACACCCAACATCCCCTTCTGGCTGCTGCATGTGCACATGTCTCTATCTCTAACTGTCTCTCTCACATACAACCAAGAAAGCCAAGAGAGGAGGAAAGAGGCCATGAGTTACACACAGCAGTAGGGCAAGGGCAACTCCCTGTGTGGCAGTGACAAGACCAAATGGGAAGCCTCGAAAACAGCCTTCCCAGGGAGAAAAAATAACAGTAACAGTCATCTTCCTACTGCACTGCCTTCGCAGATTAGTGACAAGAAGCTACTAGAAGGTATAGGAAGAACTAGTAATGAACACAAAGAGCATTAACCAAATAGCAACAAAACAGCAATTACTAAAATAGCAAACATTTAAAAAAAAAACACTTAAAATACTGCAGCAGTGAGCTATTTAAATTTAGAATCACATAATGTAATCTAAAACTTTAACCCAAACTTCATCAAAACTAAATAGTGATGGTTAAGATAGAAGGGAAGGTAACATGAAATAATTAAATATTTATTTACTATAATATGTCACCAACATAAGTTTCTAAGTTAATACCTTAAAAGAGCACAGCATATTGTTCTGAAAATAATGAGGTATAAATATAAGAATTACAACAAAAGAAAAAAGTGGTCATTGTATAAACTGAGGACATGGTCTCTACAAGGGATGGCTGAGGGTCTCACCGGAGGGAAGCACTTCTGGGGGGCAGCTTCAGCACCACACTGTTTGAGGTAGTCAGCCCAGTCAAAGTCCTGGCTCCGGAAGCCTGCCCAGAAACAGAAGAGCAATGGTTCACACACAATACGCCTGCCAAAGTGTAACACAACTCCTAATGCTGTTATCTATGGACTTTTATCAATGTGGAGGGGCACACTATAATACAAATAACAATTAATATTTTTCATGCTAGGGAACTGAACAAGGAATAAACACAGCAAATTTTATAAAACAGAATAACTGGGAAATTATAATTATGTAATAAAATTAATGAAGTAAGTGTTTAAACTTCCAAACTTCAAGCCAGGTATTTTGTGAGCAGTACTCTGGTGTGACTAGTTACTGACAACTTGCCAAGAGTTTAAAAAAAATTAAAAAGACTAAATTTGATTTCACATATAGAAATTTAGTCTTATTGATTTTATTAGTACTTTTTAACCAGTGAGGACTTTTGTTGATAAGCTATTTGCTTTCCTTAACATGTCTTAGTTAATACCAACACAATGTCTCCCCTCCTCCTTAAGACAGGGTTTTAAGGGTATCCTGGAACTCACGTAGCTAAGCTGACCTTGAACTATTGACAATCCTGCCTCACCACCTCTACCACCTTCCAAGGCATAAAACACCATACCCTGGCTCTGCTGCAATACTCTTAGCACTGTTTTCAGATTCATACTCTACAGAACCTGTCTAACAGGTTCAGGAGCACAGAGAATAGTGGGCACAAGGATGCAGCTGGAGGGGAATTATTTCTAATGTCCCTTTTATGGTTGACAAAATTAACTGAACATCTCAACACAAAGAAATGGTATTATAGCTGACAGATATGTTCATTACTCTAACCTGATCATTATACATTGAATATATGTATTAAAATGCTACCCTGTACTCCATAAATATAGTATATGTGTCAATTAAGAAAGCATTTTAAAACTCTAAATGTTATGCTATAATCCAAATCATAAATTCAACTGAAGACTAAAATAAACAACTCTCTACTTCAATCTATAAAGGTTCTTGGTAGATGTACCTCCAAACTAGTATCTAACTCAACTCCATCTGTGCAGGAAGAGCTACATGGTTGCTGTCCACTTTTGTCTAAAATGTTCTGTCTCAGAGCTTAATCACAGGCTACTCAAAACTGTGTCCTTCTACAGGCAACAGTCCCCACTATCTCCTTTCTTGCCCAAACAAAGGCTTCAGCTCTCCCTTTGACCCTATCTCACTTTCTGATAAAAACATTCTCTGGCATGTTCCTTTCTTAAATATTTCTATTTTTATATATGTATAAGTGTATGTATATATGTGAGCATGTTCACACGTGCATGCTGGTACCTATAGAGTCCAAAAGGAGCACCAGATACCCTAGAACTAGAGTTGCAGGCGGCTATGAGCCACCTGCTATGAATACTGGAAAATGGACTCTGGACTGTAGAAGCTGCAAATTCTCTTAGTCACCGTGCCAATTCTCCAGGCCCCACTGTCATTTTCAATTACATTATATCTTTAATATTTGTTTTCTCTTTTTCACACAAAGGTAGCAATCAGTGTAAGAACTTGGAAATGTGCACTTTCCTACAAACCAACAAGTTCCTAGCTTAAGTGTTCAATGCCACATGTCAAACCAGGTGCTCCTTGTGTTCTGCTCATCGATGTATAGAACCTGGGAAGTCCTGTGGATATTTTCCCTCTTGTGCCTCTTGAAAGGCTAGATTATACTCACCTCTGTCTTCTCAGTGATAAATTCAATATGTGTTCACAACAAAAACCCCATAAATGTTTTCTTGGATGAAGGAAGGCTGGGTGGAGGACAGTTTATGATCCTTGCTAACATGAGTGCTTCCAGCACAATGCTTCAGCAGTCAGCATTCAAGAGAAGCCTTGCTTCCCAAAGCCTACTAAATTGAAACAATCTGATTTGCTAGTATGCTGGCTGGGCAGTGGTGGCACAGGCCTTTAATTCCAGCATTCGGGAAGCAGAGGCAGATGCATCTCTGTGAGTTTGAGGTCAGCCTGGTTTTACAGAGCTAGTTCCAGGATAGGTCCCAAAGACTACTAAAAAAACAGTCTCAAAAAGCCCCCCACCAAAAAAAAAGAAAGAAAGATAGAAAGAAAAGAAAAGAAAGAAAGAAAGAAAGAAAGAGGAAAAACTAATATCTGACATTTTCCAGGTATTCCAAGTTTAAAAATACTAAAAATTTCAGCCAAATTCAGTGAAATCTTATTTCAGTGCTTTACAGAAGGTCAAATATCAAATTTTACAAAGTTACAAGAACAAGTAAAATGAGCTGATACTCCTTTTGGATCTTGATCATAGCATCCCTCTGACTAGTCATCTGGATAACAAGGCCTCAATGCCTAAAAATCGCCCGCCTTCTAGCTCAGGTCTACATGCTCAGTTTCTGCCAAGCCTACTATCAACTTCAAGAAACACAGGCATATCTGGGAAGAGAGACTCTCAACTAAGGGATTGCCTCCATCAAACTGTCCTGTGGGAGAGTCTGTAGGCAGTTTCTTAATGTGGGAAGGCCCAGTCTATTGTGGGGGCTGCCACCTCAGGCAGGTGGTCCTAGGTTGTATTAAAAAAGCAAGCCTGAGCAAACCATAAGAAGCAAATCATTAAGCAGAATTTCTACGTAGTCTACTTCAGTGTCTGCCATGAGCTCCTGCCTGGACTCCCTTCAGTGACAGGTTTTAAGAATAAGATGAAAAAACCATTTCTTCTCCAAAATTGCTTTGGTCCATGACTTATCCCAGTAAGAGAAGCAAAACAGACACCCATCATTCTGTAACATTCCAACAGATTCCAAACAGGGAACCAGAACAGAACCCAGGCTTGAACCTGTCCTTCTGGCTGCCTATACAAATATATGTCAAAGTATGAAAAAAAAAAAAAACAAAGCTAACACTTCAGCTTGTGACTTCAAACATTACAGAATGAGCTGGATGTGGTGGTATACTCTTTTAGTCCCAGTGCTCAGGATGCAGAAGCAGGAGGTTCTTCTCTGTGAGTTCAAGGTTAGCCTAGTCCACATAGAAAGTTCCAGGCCAGCCAGGCCAAATAGTAAGACTCTTCCTCAATAAACAAATAAATAAAATTATGGAATCTAGATCTCATTACGTTATACTGGACAGAAGGTATAAAAGATCTTAGCAATGGCATCCAACATATATTTCAAGGGCTAAGTTGGGTAGATAAGGAATTTAAGGCCAGCATGGTTCATACAGTAAGTCTGAGGACACACTCAGCTACATAGAGAGACCCTACATAATTAATTATGATAATAATAATTTTCAGAAACAACACAGAAGAACTCAAATGCGTACCCGGAGGAGGGGTGATGTGTAAACCATTCTTTAGACTCCACTGCACAGGAAAGATACCAGGACTGTTAGCATGGCACACAAATGACCGCCTTGTATGGTCTTCTGATCGGAGATCATCCATTTCCACCAGAAAGTACTTATCATCAAAAACCTGTATAATTAAGATATAAAAGTGACAAATGGATTTTTTTCATATTATGTATGTAATACATATTAGGCATACACACACATACACACATATCTATCACAAATAGATCTGTACTTTCCTTAGCACAATCAAACATGTTACATAAGTTCATTTACACTGACACTGAGTTATTAAAATATTCAATAAATGTTAGTTCTACATCAGGTATTAGTTTAGTTAAATATCTTTCATATATTTACTCAGTTTTACTTTTTATAACAATTTAATGAGGTAGGTACCATTTTCTCTCTCTCTCTCTCTCTCTCTCTCTCTCTCTCTCTCTCTCTCTTTTGTAGACCAGGCTGGCCTCGAACTTAAAGAGATTCACCTGCTCTGGCTCCTGAGTGCTGGGATTAAAGCAGTGTGCCATCACCGCCTGGTGGTAGGTACCATTTTCAATACCATTTTTCAGGTAAGGAAGATAAATTCAAAGAAAGTAAAGTAATTTACCATAGGTTACATGGTCAGGAAACTTTTCTTTTTTTAAAACCTGAACTCAAACCAATTATTTGGTTTCCAAGTAAAATTTAGTTTAAGCTTAGTAAGGGTCAACTACATTACTATATTAACATCAAATGCCAAAGTGAGAAGTCCACAATTATCCTCTGTGTCTCTTCAGACTCCAGAGAAGGTTGGTGGGTCTTGGTGTCATGTCAGGCATATGTCTACCTCTCTTTCTCTCTTTCTCTGTGTATGTGTCTTAAAGATTTATTTTTATTCCATTACTTACACGTGTGTCTATGTCTGACACACATGTAAGTAATAGAATAATATATGCCACATGGCTGTAGGTGCTGAGAAGGAGGCCCTAAATGAAACTGTAATTACAAGTGGTTATAAAGCACTTGACTTGGGTGCTGAGAATTAAACTAGTCCTCTGTTAAAAGCTCTGAACCACCGGGTCATTTCTCCAGCTTTCAGAGAAGGTCTTAAGACTACTTATAAGCTCAAGAATCTGTTATAGCTCTAAGAATAGTCTTCCACTAAAACAAAGAAAATGTAAATCTCACCAAGACAGATAACTAAACATCCTAGTAATTATTCCCATAGTTATAATCCACCTTGGGCTCTACTTACAGAAAATGGGGTCCTGCTCTACTCTAGTCCTAAACCAAATCCTCTCTATTACACAGTAACTGCACAATTGATATAATTAACAGTGTGCTCAGCTCCTGTGGTTACTCTGGAGAGATGGCAGTCTGACTCCAGAACACACAGCTGTAGCTATCCTAGTGGTGATGCTAACTCTGTGACCCCAATCTCTATGACCCCAAACCCTTCCCTGGTTAGATGCGTGACGGCACTGCCTGGATTCCCACTTTATGAATATTGTGGACCTAAGTCTTCTAGTTACACAAAGGAAGGCTGAGCCTCTAAGGAGCATTTCCTTCCCCTACTCTGCTGCTCTGACTCTGCTCTGCTCTGGCTGGACAAGACTAAGACCTGAAGAAGAAATGGCACACAAAAAAACTGGGCAATACAATACAAATACAGAGGAGATTCTGGCTTCAGAGTGGATTGTATTAGGATAGCCTAAAGATCAAATCACCATCATTTCCTCAACTAGTTACCCTGATGGCAATTCTTCCCAGAAGAAATAACTCCCACTTCACCTTAGCAATTGTAGCAGGAGAAATCCCAAAAGGAGACCATGGGTCCACAGCTTCCAATTTCATATTTACAGAAAATTCATGGGTTCCAATAACTTGCTTATCCTGAAATATATATAACAAAAAGAGTAAAAATTTAGTGTCTTTGAATTAATTTATGCGCATATGTAGTTAAATACTTGTGATGGTTAATATTCACTGTCAACTAGGCTGAATTTGGAGTCCTCTAGGTGACATGCTCTGGGTGTGCCTTTGAGGGTATTTCCTGAGAGGTTTAACAAGGAGGGAAGAATATACTCTGATTGTGGAGAATATTACACTCTGAACTACGGTCGTGGATTGGATGAAAAAGTAGAAATGAGCTGAGCACCAGCAAGCATTTCCCTTTGCTTGCTGACTGCATGTTTACTGTGAAAGGACACCTCAAGCTCCCATCTCCAGGCTTCTCAGTCATGATGGTCTACAGACCTTCAATGAGTCAAAACAAGCCCTCAGCGCCTAGACTGCTTTTGTCACGGGTGGTTCATCGCAGTACAGGAAAGGTAATCTAGTTAATGAAAATAACAGAGCCGCTAAGCTTCTGGTAAATCTTGCCACTTCTCTTCCTGGGAAAATCTACTCAGGACAAAACAACTCATGTAAAGCATTCCTCTCTATGTCTGCAATGCAATGGACATCTGGAAGAAAAAACATATTTATTTCCTAACTAGTTAAGGTTATGTTGCTAACTGGAAAATAAGACACGCAGACAGCTTTCAGAGGATCTCGAAAGAGGATGGTCAGCATCCCTGCTGTCTGACCTCCCCTTCCCACACTGCAGGCTACAGTGCTCTCCTGCCTCTAGTGCTTCCTTCCCATTCTTTACCTCCCCCAAGTGCTATTTTCTACTATACGTAAAACTTGTATTTATCATGATTTCTGTTTTTACCTTAAATAAATAAGAAGGTAATGGTTCTTCCTCCTCCTCTTTTACTTTGGCCAGAATCTCTTGCCAATCAGCTTCATTTTTCAGATGCCTGATGGCTTTAGTGAGACAAAATAGCATGATTTAAGAGGAGAAAACCTATAGATGTTTTTAACTTCTGAAAGCATTTACATAAACACAATTACTTTCTACTATGGATTAGGAAAAGGTTTAGGTCTACTCCCCTCTACCACCAAACTCCCCCCAAAAGAGGGTTTTTCAATATAGTGCTGGTTGTCCTGGAGTTTGCTCTGTAGACCAGGCTGGCCTCCAACTCAGAGATCCTCCTGCCTCTGCCTCCCGAGTACTGGGATTAAAGGTGTGCACCACCATGCCCAGCTTTTTTTTTCTTTTAGGAGTTAGGAGTTCAGATCCACCTTCATACAAAATAACCTGTAATCGAATCTCAGTACTCTGTTTAAGAGGTCAAAATTTAAAGTTTGTTAAAATAACTACAGTAAGAGCAGATGTAATGCTGCAGCCCATGAAATAATACAATAAATACCCAAACTGGACTACACAGTAATGAATGCAAGAAAAATATTGGTAAGGTAAAAAGTCCGAGGTATAATCAGTAATGTATGCTAAACTATAAGTGTAATAACAAAATCAAAGAGAAATATATACTTAATGCAACTACTTTGTATAAATACAAAACACTTTTTATGTAAATTAAGAAAGGTTTCCATGCCAGGCGGTGGTGGCATATGCCTTTAATCCCAGCATTCGGGAGGCAGAGACAGACGGATCTCTATGCGTTCGAGGCCAGCCTGGTCTTAGAGCAAGTTCCAGAACAGTCAGGGCAACACAGAGAAATCCTTGTCTTGAAAAGCAAAAACAAAAATGTTTTCATAATATGTAAAATATATTTTTCACCCTCACAAATATTAATAATAAAACAACAATAGAAGTTTATATAAAAGTGCTATGTCTTTACCTGATGGGGGCTGAAGTTCATATCCTTGCTGAGCAGCCCAACCAATGTGATGAAGAAACGGATCTAAGTAGTACAACCAGTGTTCAAATTTGTCAGAACTTCCGAGTCCTTCATAGCGCAGCCTCAGCCGTCCCCCGATGTTCTCCACGACAGTAACAATCCAAGTGCTTAAGGAATCTCGAAAAGCTTGGCATTCTAGTCTGGACCCAGGAGCAATGAGATCTAAAGGATTCCTTCCATTACGGAGCTGCAGGTTAAAAATGTGAAATTGGAGAGGTTAATGTTTCTTCTTAAAATTCAAGTTCTAAATTTTCTGAAACTAGTCTTCATACTGTTTGACTCACACTACAACAGTGGGATTAAATTACATCGTCTATAGATGGCCTCCCATAATACCACTTTTGGATGATATGAAAATGTTTATCATAAAGAAAAGCTTACTTATAACACAAGGAAATTGTTTTAACAATACCTCTAATTATTATTTCATTTACTATAGTTTTAAAAATAGAATCTTGTCTCTGATTATGAAAGCAAATAAGATCATCATTAAAGAGAAAATCAAACATGCCTACCCTCTTCTGTAATCCTAAAGACCTGAGAGACAACAGAGAGTAGCTGGTATCAACACTACACCTAAGCCAGTATCTACTTCTGCTTCTCTTTGCTATGTTTTGTCATTTTTTCAAAACATATACTGTTTTCACTTATTAGATTACAGATCTCTTTTTATTAGAGCAGATGTCAGCTTCCCTAGTTTTTAAACTGTTCTTAATATTTTGCACTTATGTGAGCAAAAATGTATCTACCTCATCATCCATTCATTTTATTATTTTTATTGCCCTGGGCAAGGATAAAAAAAAATTAATCTAAGTATAATACATTTTTAAATTTGTTTGAAACAGTGTTCACAAATGGGCATGGAAGTATCTATCAGCAGAACCTTAACCGGCACTTGATTTAGAAGCTTTAGGCACTAAACACGCCACCGAAGTACAACTTCTGCTACCACATGTTCCAATCCTTATGCTTATGACTCTAATAGCAATGATTCTTTTCCTCCATGCAGTAAATTCAGTTTTGAATTCCTTGCAAAAGTTTTCCATACTGGTTTAAGAAGCAGTGATACTCACGCCCTCTAGCAAAGACACAGGAGGACCACAGGCTCCTCTCAGTGTCTGCTGTAGAAACGCACCCCAATCAGACACCTTATGTCGGATGCCTAAACAAAGAAAGAAGTAGTTATTATTCATGTCAGCCACTGAACACAAAGAAACCTGACATACAGAAATGACTTAAGGGTAGGCTTATCACTTAAAAATCTCTTTTTGAGAGCTTGACTAGACAAAACAAAATAGCTACAAAATATCCTCATTCTTCCCTGAGCCATGTGCTAGTTAGTGCTTTGTCACCTTGGTACAAGCTAGAGTCATCTGGGAAGAAACCTCAATTGAGACAATGCGTCCATCACACTGGCTTGTACACAAGTTTGTGGTGCATCTTCTTGACTGATGACAGAGGTGGGAGATCCCAGTCCACTATGGGAGGCAACGCCTCTGAGCAGGTGGTCCTGAGGTATATAAGAAAGCCAGTTGAGCAAACCACGGGGAGCAAGACAGTACAATGTTCCTCCATGGCTTCCGCTTCAGTTCCTGCCTTGGCTTCTCTTAATGGATTATAGCCAGAGATATACATGTATACCAAATAAACCCTTTCCTACTCAAATTGCTTTTGGCCATGGTCTTTATTATATCAATAGAAACCAAATTAAGACGGCTACTCTCTGGCTCAATAAGAACGGTATGTAAAACAGAGACTATTAGTTGTACACAAAATAATTCCCTTACTTAATTTTATAAAAAAATCCCTTACTTTATTTTATTATAAAAAATTTCAAACATGAATAAAAAACACAGAAAGAGGCCTGGGTGTGATGATATATGCTTGTAAGCTGGGAGGATGAGGCAGGCAGATCTATATGTGCTCAAGACCAACCTGATCTACATAACAAGTTCCAGGTCAGTCAGGGCCACATAATGAGACCCTGTCTCAAAAACAAAAACAAAAAAACCACAATAAAACAACAAAAAACACACACAGAAAAAGGTACAATGAATCTTCATGCAACATAGCTTCAACAACTGTTACCTCATGCCCAAATGTTTTATCTGGAGCAAGAGTTAGCAAACTATCACTTGTGGGCTAACTCAGACCTGCTTTTTATAAATAACACTTTACTGGCACATAGCCATGTTGATTACTGATGTTTCGTCTGTAGCAGCCAGCTTCACACTGCAAGGGTAGAATGCTGTATCTGTGGTGGAGACCATAAGAGTGACAGCTAAAGCATTCACTATCTGGCCCTGAGCCAACCCCTGGCCCACACCCTCACAAATTTTACTGCTACCCAATCAAGAACTACTTAGAAGCCAATTTTAAACATCATAGAATTTCATCCATATATATTTCACCAAATATTCATGAAATAACTTTAAATTTCTTTATACATGTGAGTAGTTGTCTCAATGTCTATCTCTGCACCATGAACATGCAGTGCCACCAAAAGAGGTTGTAGAATCCCCTGGGACAGGAGTTACAGGCTTACTAGATGGTATATGGATGCTGGGAATTGAACCTGGGTCCTGCTAATTATAATCAATCCCTAAATATTGTTCCTAAACTTGAGGACAAACTTTGCTGAGAGAGGGGACATTGTCCTCTAGAATTACTTCCAGCTGTCATGGGGGTTAGGTTCTTTCTGGAGGATCCTGTGAAATTAAAATGATGGTTAAATTTCAAGATCAATGTCTTTTAAAATTGTAAACAGTCTCTGAGTATTTTGTGAAGGTCTGGCCAGAATGTTGTACAAGATGTGCACCGGTAGAGCATGAGACTCTTAATCTCAGGGTCGTGGGTTCGTGCCCCACGTTGGGCGCCAAATAATGGCAAATCAATCTCACACCAGTTATGTTTTAAAGGGGTATTTATTTTGGGGGGTAAACTTGCATACACATAAACCGTCAGGAAAGGAGCCTAGTCGCTGGAGCAGGAGCCGGAACCAAGTTCCAAGCACCGGAACCAAGAGGCCAAGCCGAGGCTTGCCGCTCTACTTTTAAAGAGAAATATACCACGCCCCAGTGGGCTGGTATTTCAGTAGCTATTGGCTGACAGAGCGGAAGGCGCTCCCGCAGCACTGTGGGCTCGTGCTTCAGCGACTATTGGCTGAAGCAGCGGAAGGTACTCCCGCAGCAGCTGGTGATCCAAGAAAGCCTGTTACATATTTATTTCCTTTTACTCTTTAAACAACACGAAAGTTGGATACGTTCAACCTCTTCTTTCCTTCAATATTTTATCTCAGGTATCATTTTTTTTTTTACTTATAGTCAACAACTTAAAAGTAACTGATTAATTATATGGATATAAAGATGGCAAGAAAGAAAATAAATAGAGCTGGAGATGGATCAGCAGTTAAGAGCTGTTACTGTGCTTGCAGAAGACCCCGGGGATAGGTCCTAGCACCATACAGTGTCTTATCATTCAGAACTCCAGTCTCAGGGGATCCATCCAATGCCTTCTTCTGACTTCTCAGGGTAACAGTGACACACATGGTACAGAGGCATAAATAATGGCAAAAACACTCATACACATAAAATAAATACCGCTAGTCACATGAGCTCCTCCACTGCTCTATTTGCTTTTTAGCAACGATACTGTATCTACATTGTATTCTTATATGTATCAGGTAGCTATAATAATAAAAATCATTCATTTGGTTTTCTAATCCTCATTCTTTTTGGGGAAGGAAAGTAGTTTTAAGACAGGGTTTCTCTGTAGCTTTGGTAGCTGTCCAGGAACTAGCTCTTGTAGACCAGGCTGGCCTTGAACTCACATAGATCCGCCTGCCTCTGTCTCCTGAGTGCTGTGATTAAAGAAAGGCATGTGCCACCACTGCCCGGCCTAAGACAGGGTTTCTTTATGTAGCCTTGGCTTTCTTGGAACTCACTCTGTAGACCAGGCTCGCTTCGAACTCAGAAATTTGCCTGTCTCTGCCCCCCAAGTGCTGGATGAAAGGTGTGCGCCATCACTGCCTGGCCTGAACCTCATTCTTTAGTGGATTCCTTATGAAATGCTCATGGGAACAATATTCCTCAAATGTTTTCTACTTTCTTAACAGTTTATAGAGGATTTTTTGACCAGGAAGTCATTTTGGATAGCGATAAAATCCTCTCATTCTCTCTTTCACTGAATTTCTTAATTAAGTGATGAAAGTTAGCAGCAGCAGCACAAAACAGATCAAAAACATCATCTTGTAACAGAAGTCACACTGAATGTAAAGAACGTACTTGTTCTACAAAAAGCACAAAATCTAAATTAAAGGATGCATAAGTCAGACCCAAACTGGGGGAGATCCTACACAGTACTTTTCAGAAATGTCTAAATAAAGAAAGACTAAGAAAGCTAAAGAGATATAGCAAAATGCCCAGCTCCTAGACCAGAAACAGAGGAGACTGGAACACAGCAGCACTAAGGGAAGGCTGGCCTATACACACCACCCATGTCCAAGTGACCAAAGACAAAGCACAGAGTGGCGTTCCAACGTAGTAACTAACTCCACTTAAAAATCTAAGGGGGCTTAAAAGGGAAAGAGAGTTTAACACAGCTTTTTGCTGTTTGCTAGCGATTTTTCCTGACTCAGCAGCCGTATTTAAAAAAAAAAAGCCACGCCATTTTAAGGCAAAGCTTCCTGGGCCCTGCTGCTGGTGCAAACTCCGGCTATGGAGATCTAGCTGCCTGCCTCTGCCTCCAGAGTGCTGGGATTAAAGGCATGCACCACCATAGCCTGGCTTGGTTGGAAACTTATTCTGGACATATGACAACAGAAAGCAACATGTGACTCAGAGATATCATTTTTTTTCTAAAATTGTTAGCATAATTTTAAAAAGTACAAAAGGTCTGAAGACTAATTAATAGCATTTTACCAGACTTACTTTCCTGATTTTGATATTTACTGGGCTGCTCATGAATGTCTTATTTTTTAGAAATACATTTCTATGAATAAAAAGGGCATCATGACTAAAGCCAATTCCCAAATTCTTTAAAAGACGCCTGTGTGGATAGGGAGAAAGGACAAAACAAATGTGGAAAAACACCAACACTTGGGAAAATGTCACAAAATGTCATCAAGAATGTTTTTATACTATTCTTACAACTTTCTTGTAAATTTAAAACTAAATCAAAGTAAGAAGTTATAAATATAAAATGTCACCTACTTTCCTGAGTATATAATCTCTCTACAACCTTTATCTTCTCCATTAAAGAATTTTTACTTTTTACATTTTCTAACATTATTTTAAATATATGATTGTTTTACCTATGTATATGTCTGTGTGCCAAGTGCATTCCTGGTGTCTACAGAAGACAGAAGAGAGCATTAGATCTCATAATATTAGCGTTATGAGCTACTATGTAGGTACTGGGAATCAAACCCATGTTCTCTGCACAAGCAGCAAGTGCTCTAACTACTAAACCACCAAAACATCTCTCCAGCCTCTCCTCCCTCTTAAAATTTTATCTATCTATCTATCTATCTGTCTGTCTGTCTGTCTGTCTGGTCTTTTGCATCTTCCTCCAATTTAATTGATGGCCTACTCTACGTAGGGTACATTCTTGTAACAGAACTTCAGTTGGTTCATTTAAAAACCAATAGTGCCGTGTAACCTATAATCCCAGCATCTGGAGGGCTGAGGCAATGAGGCTTTCCAAGTTTGAGGTTAACCTGTGCTATACAGTGAGACTCTGGCCAAAAGAAAAAAGGCTGTAATATAATTTACAAGTTTACTTTTAAGTTAGGAGAAAGAAAAATAAACAGAGAACCTGAGAATGGTGTCACAGGCCTGAAATCTCAGTTCTGTGGGCAGATAAGGCAGGAGGTTGTCAAGTAGCAAGGTTGTTGAGTCTATCCATCTGGCCTGCAATCAGGCCAGGTCTGGTGGCATATGCCTGTGATCTCAGCTCTCATGATGAATGTGAGTTAGAGGTCAATCTGAGCTACACTGTGAACCGCAAAAAACACAAGGATGGAATCTATCCAGGAAGAAGTCCTCCTCAATCACATGTATAAAGTCCTAGGTACAATCACAGAACAACAAACAACAACAACTGGATCTCCAAATCTCAAACTCAGACAGCCTCAGTCTAAGAAGAAGAAACTATGGTTTTGATGGTCATCAAAAAAACCTGAATGGTTTATAGTAGAAGAAAAAATTAATTAGGAAATACAGGACCAGAGGCTCATTTGGTAGAGTGCTTGCCTAGAACCAACAAAGTACTGGGTTTGAGGCCCCAACACTGCATAAATGAGGCCTGACAGCTTGCTGGTATTCACAAGTAAGAGTAATGAGAAGTTCAAGGTCACCCATGGCTATGTATCAAATTCAAGGCCAACCAGAGATATATGAGACAATGTCTCAAAAATTAAAAATAAATGATAAATAAAACAGAGTCTGGAGAGATGGCTCAGTAGAGTTTGGCTGCTCTTCCAGAGGTCCTGAGTTCAATTCCCAGCACCCACATGTCTGCTCACAACCAAATATAACTCCAATCCCAGGAAATCTGACCTCCTCTTCTGGCCTTCTCTGATTACAGTAGAATAAGGTTCCTGATTCCACTCGGATGAGCTGGCCTCTGAGGAAGCCTGTTACAGGAGGATCCAGAAAGACTAGGCCTTGGGGCACAAACCTCAAGAGAGCACAGAGAGACACAGGCCAATGGGGAACCATGAAAGACATGGCCAAACAAAAACCTGGTAGCACACACCTGAAAGCCTCACAATTCATGAAGAAGAGGCAGGAGGATAGCAAGTTGAAGGCCAACCGGGGCTACACAGTGAATGAAAGCGTAGCTTAGTCATAACAAAAATTCTAATTGGCAGCTGAAAGCAATGGCTGTTCTTTTAGAGGACCTGAGTTTGATTCCCAGCAGCTGTCAATTGTCTGTAACTCCAGTTCCAAAAGATCTGACACCCACTTTGGGCTTCAGTGGGAGCCCCTATGTACATGCACACATACACACAGTTTAAAAAAAAAAGCTAAAGGGTTAAAATAAGATAAATTATAGATAATATGATTTCAGTTTAAAAACAGGGAAATTTTTTCATTAAAAATATGAGCCTAAGATGGGCAGTGGTATCATGCGCTTTTAATCCCAGGATTTGGGAGGCAAAGGCAATGCAAATCTCTGTGAGGTCAAGGCCGCCTGGTCAACATAGCTAGTTTCCGGACATTCAGGGATACACAAAGAAACCCTGTCTTGAAAAACAACAAAATAAAGAAACAAACAAAAAGTTAGCCTCACCTAAAACGCTGTGTAAATCTATGTAGGAGTAGCCTGACAAGCCTCAAGACTGTGGCCAATCTAAATTTTCTTACAGCAATATCCTATCAAACCTTGAAAGGGAATATGCTACTACCTTCTGGAGCTTCAAGGGTCTTCTTATTCTGTTCACACCACCCCAGGGGATAGAGGCCAGCTTTCCTGATATCACACCAGAAGTCTGCTTTCCGGTCTTCACCGTAGCCTTCATAACGGAGTAGGAGTAACTGCTCACAGGCAGTAATGATGGTGGCAACCCAATAAGTTTCAGGATCTTTTTTCACAGCTACCTCAAGCTTCATCCCAGGAGCAAAGCCATTTTGCAAACGTATGTCCACCTGAAAAAAGAAATGTTATTAGCCACCAGACAAAATGTATTTCATGAGTGTTTTTCAGCCCAAATTCTTTTTTAAGACCTAAGATTTTCAAAGCACTAAATGCCTATAAAACCTTCTCAAAGGAAACCTGAGAAATTCAAATTATAACTCATAACACTGATCAAAAAAAAAAAAACAGAAGTAGCTACAGGGCTCTGTCCACATGGCAGTGATAGAACTTGGTATTTTCAACAACATAGCCAGTCTCTTATGATTATAGAAGGTATCTTCTAGAAAGTATATACATTACTAAACATTCACATTTTCATATCCTTCAACATGTCTTCAAGATTTCTATATCACTCAACAACAAAAAGTTTTAGATAACCACAACATGGAAATGAAAAAAGTATAAAGATATAAATCAGTAGTATTAGTAATATTATGTACAATATGCAGGAAATCCATACTTCTGTCAGCTGTTATAGTAAAGTGTTCCAATGTAGACAAAAAGTTACATGGTGACAAAGGTATGGGTGAGCAATTCTTAAGTATATAAAGGTACTGTGGAGAAGTTACAAATTAAAAAAAAGGGCAGGGGGTGGATATGCTGGCACTCACCTTTAATCCCAAGACTTAAGAGGCAGAGGCAGGGGGATCTCCTTAAGTTCAAGGCGAGCCTAATCTACAAAGCACTGGCTTTGTGGGACAGCCAGGGCTACACAAAGAAATCCTGTCTCAAAAACCACACACACACACACACACACACACACACACACACACACACACACAC